CCTCCTCCTCCTCCTCCTCCTCCTCCTCCTCCTCCTCCTCCTCCTTGCTCCCACTCTCGTGACTATTTTCAGACAGGTTGCTGCCAACATCTGTGAACAGTTCGCTCAAAGGAGGGTTGAGAAAATGTACATGGCGGTATGAATTTCACCCGCTACCTGCTTCCCTTTGCTCCCTTCCTTGCTACCGTTGCACACTTCGCAAGCCTCCTCCTTGACGATTCTTCTCCCTTGAGCGTTCTCAGCTTGTCTTGACCGGTTGTAGGTGGTGGTAGGGAAGGTGGAAGGAGAAGGTTCGATAGACACTGAGCTGCAGTAAGATGGCGCTTGCTCCCCTCGGGCTCACTGACTGGTACATCAGGGGACGCCGTGCTCGCACGCGGTACATGAGCATGAGGTAGCAGCAGCTCTGAGCAGAGGAGAGGAGGTAGCTGAGCGATGCAGGTCCGTTCCCTCCCTCGTCTTCGGCCACTTGTCCCTGCTCAAGCTGATCCCGGAGACGGGCCGAATGCATCAGGTTCTACTCCCCTCCGCCTTCGCCTCGTGACGTCTCTTGCCTTCAGCTCAGAAAGCACATGGCGGGCATGGGGACGCCAATCCTCGGGGATAGGAAGTGAGCGAGTGAGGAACGCGACGAGGCTCCTTGTGAGTCTCTGCCATGGCAGGTACCGGACCAACTCGCACTCAGACGAGGCTGGCGCCCTGTTCCTCTGGGCGTGCTCCATCGCCTTCGACCACCCCGTGCGAGCAGCCTGAGACGCGAGAGGAGCTGACCGACTCCTTCAGGTGGAGGGCAGGCGGGTGCGCGTGCATGAAGACCCTCCCAACAAGTTCCTGAGCATCCTGAGCAAGGAGGAGAAGCGATGGACCCGGGTGAAACTGAAAGAGAGCCAAGGGAATGTCCCGCCCCCCTGACTCGAGTCTGTCTTACACGCCCTCCTTCTACTCTCACAAACAGCTTCCGGTAGGTCTTGTTGTACATACACGAGCCCTACCGCTACTTGTGCATGCTCGCCTCCTCCTACTGGCATAGAGTGTTGCGGAAGTTCACGTACTCCCTGTGCAGATGCTTCTTGATCCCATGCATCTCCTCCAGCAGCACCTGCCACCGCCTCCATCATCCTACTCCTCTCCCCCCTCCTCTTTGCTCCTCCTCTCCTCTCCTCTCCTCTCCTCTCCTCTCCTCTCCTCTCCACTCCACTCCTCTCCACTCCTCTCCTCTCCACTCCACTCCACTCCACTCCTCTCCACTCCACTCCACTCCTCTCCTCTCCTCTCCTCTCCTCTCCTCTCCTCTCCTCTCCTCTCCTCTCCTCTCCTCTCCTCTCCTCACCTGTATCTCGCAGATGTGCTTCCGCAGCCCTGCTGTCCTCCCCCACTCCTTCACCGGTACGAACGTGCAGCACTGGCTCGACTCGTCTATCGTCCATCCCACCTGCCCTCCTCTCAGCTCTTCCTGCCCGGTCTCTCGCCTCCCTTCCCTCCTACCTCCACGCACACGCACAGGTCCCGGTAGCCCCCGCTCAAGCTCGTGCCGCCAGACGGGTCGTACCTGCCCCACAGGCTCAGCCGCATCCCTTGGCTCGACCCGCTTGACTCCTCTACATCCCCTCAGCTCGCTCCCCGCCTCGTCTCCCTCCCCCTCGCTCCTCGCTCCCCGCTCCCCGCTCCTGCTCCTCGCTCCTCGCTCGTCTTCTTCTGGTGCACGTACCGGTTCTTGATGTTGGTGATGCTCATGTAGATCTCCCCGCCTTCCTCTCCCCCGCCCGTCTGTCGAAGGCTCGTCACTTCCTCCTCCTCGCCGTCTCGGTTCTCTCTGCCCTCCTTACCTCCACGTCCTCCGACATCACCCTCCCTCCTCCAGGCTGGTCCCACGCGCTCACCCCGTGCCCCACCACCGACTGACCCCGCAAGAAGCTCAACCACGACAGCACGTCGTCGATCGACGACACCACCACAGTACATCGCACCAGGTCGGTCAGGCACGAGGGGTCGCGCCTGTACGACCTCACCGTCTTCTGCATCGCTCGTGCGCAAGACTTGACGTTACCATGCTCCACCCGCCCCACCCGGTTCCACCCGGACACCCACAGCTGGAAGGCGGCGCTGACCTCCTGCGCCTGGAGGAAGAGCTGCTCGAAGTCTCGGCTCGCCTGCCGGATCTTCCCGTTCCTCCTCGAGTATCGCCGGCCCCGCAGGCCGAGCGTCACCCACAAGTACCGACGCCACGTCCGGGTGTCATCGCCGATCACCTCCTCCAGCTCTTGAGCGATCGCCCGACTCGCGCGCTAATCTCCTGCACTACGTGCGAGCTCTCCTCGACGACGCTGGTCCAAGTGTCCTCGAAGCCTCGCATGGCTGCCTTGAGGTCCCTGAAGGTCCTGGCGTACGCCCGGTGATACTCCACCGCGATCGCCAGCTCCACCAGCCAGCAACCTACCCCGAGGCAGACCATCACGTACCTGAACTGATTGTCAAGAGCTAGAGCCGAGTAGAAGCAGTAAGCCCCTTGAGCGAGGAAGGCAGCCATCCAGAAGTAGTGCTGCACGAAATGCGCCAGGTACATCATGATAGCCAGAAAGCTCACAGTGATTATATCCGAGAAACCGTTACACTCTGCTCCTATCCCCGTCCCCTGAGTCGAGCACTGCACAAAGTCGGCTACCATGCAGGCCACGTTGGCCGTCAGCACCAGATGCCCCGTTGACAGCAGCAGCCACTTGGCTCGTAACGGTGTGCTCAGCAGCCCCAGCAGCACCCCGCTCAAGAACAACAAGCTCCACGCAAAGCTGATGATCGGATCTGCCATGACCGATATCCTCACAGTCTTGGGCTTGACGGGCGTGCCCGAGCTCTTGTCCGGCAGCCAGACCTGGTCGGACATGATCGGGCCCAGCTGCTTGATCCCGAACACAAGGTACACCAGGCTGAGGAAGACGATGCAGCTTCTCGCCGGCAGCTTCACCAGGGCCGTCTCGAGGGAGTTGGTGGTGCGGAGGGCGAGGACCCCGTTGACGTCAGCGTCTCGGTACTGCCTGAGCCTGTCGTTGAGAGGGAGGAAGCGCTCGTCCTTCTTGTAGTCCTCCACCAGCTTCTCGAGCGTCCGGATCGAGCTCTCGTCTGAAGCATTGTATGCTGTGATGTCAAGGCAAGATTCCACTATCTGAATGCAACTTTGAGCCTGCGACAGTGCTCTCGTGAACAGAGGAAGTTTGTCCAGGGTCTCGATGCCCCGCAGCGCGAAGTACTCGTTGAACTTGTCATACATCCCCGTCTCCTGCAGTACCTGCAGCACCTCGATCCCCCGAGGGTTGTGTTTCGAGAACTCCCACAGCTTTCGGTCGATGTGCTCCTTCACCACCCTCACCAGACAGTGTGCTATCAGCTCCCCCGCCTCCCTCGCGCTTCTCTCGACATCTCCGGTTGAGTCTACGTACATGCCAGCCACTCCCTTGCTCCCCTTCCCTCTCCTTGTCTCCTCCCCCAGCCCGACCTCTGCCCTCCTCCCCGCAGGCAGCAGCATCGCCACCGCCTCCTGCACCGAGACTCCCAGCAGGTACTCGAGTATCGCCTCTCTGTCCCTCCGGACGCCTCCTGCTTGTATCAGCTCGCTCGCCCGCGCGCAGCTGCGTACCGACGGCTTCCTGCTGAGGCTCCCGCACGCGCTGGAGAGGGAGGTGCGTCCCTCGGACTCGTCCCGCAGGATGGGTAGCACGGCCTTGAGTCTCCCGGCGTCCTTGTTGAGCAGGTAGAGCGCTGCCAGCGCGTGCACGAGGAAGTCACTCTCACGGTCGTGCGCCTCGTCGATCGCTGCGAGCTCCTCCAGCACGCTGTGTTCCTGACCCCAGGTGATGACGGGCACGAAGACGGAGCAGTTGCACAGGTATCTGGCTCTGGTCACCCTTGTCTCGAGGGCAGCCAGGTAGGGCACGCAGTCCATGTCGAGGTAGGTCTTGCCGGGGTAGATCTTGTAGAAGCTCTGAGTTTCAGAGGAGAGGATCTCGTGCAGGATGCGATGGAGGCGCCTTGAAAGCTGCTGGTCATGACCAGTGTTTGCCTCGGTCTCTTCTTCACGTCCGCTGCTGGCGGACTGAGGATGGAGCCTGTAGACGAAGAAGTGAAGGTTGTCCTTGGCAGCAGCCAGTGGTAAGTTGCTTTCAGGCTGCAGCCCGGTTTGTTGCTTGTGCAAAACTGGGCGCTTTGCTCGGTTTGATGCAAGCGTAGGTAAAAGTACATTTTCCTTACTCTCGGACCTGCTCTTGTGCATGATCTGCTGTTTCTAACGTGTCATGGATACCATTTTACAAAATCACCACGTTCCCGATACATATCAGCCGGCAGCATATGCGAATCTGCAAATTTTACACAATCAGTTCTGAAAACCTTTCAAATACACTCTTGAGCAAATCGTCATTTCGTCAGTCCATCGAAATTGATGCTAGGATTGCATGATAGTTTCTGAGTCGAGTTCAACCTAAATCTCGTGCACTTTTTCGCTCACACGCTCAATCTCTTTCACCCGTGTTGCCGATAGGCAAAGTTTGCTTTCGATTGAATCGCTCGATTCAACATTTCAATCTTCCGGCATAGCTCCCAACCATCCATTGCCTGTCAGTCACTGCAGATATGATTGTTTGTTCTCTCTCCTTCTGCTGTCTCTTTCTTCGCTCTCCTTCACTTCCTTCTCTCTTTCTTTTCCTCCTTTCGTTCCCCCGCACTGAGCATTTTTCCGCCTTGTGAGGAGGAGCACCCCCCCTCTGCCAGACTACCCCCTTGAATGACTGGAAATACCTACACACTCTTCGCGAGTTGCACCTACATCAATTCTCACTCCAAAACACGTCTTTTGATATTTTTAAAAATACACTCAATTGTCCCACCCCCCTGTCTCCTCCCACCATATCGTCTAAGTGAATTTTCACCCATCCTGATCAAGTTTTAACCCACCCCAACCCCATCTAAAACTCTTTCCCTTGGTTGGCTTCTGAACTCCGAACGGTCGCTGATGAAGATATAAAACATCTACTACACGTGACTCATCAAGACATCCAGCTAGTGCTGTCAGTCCGTGGCTTTACTCAAAGTTAAGTTAAAAAGCAGTACGAGGACAATCAGGAGAGTCGAGGAGGCCGGGCTTGACCCTGACACTGTCCGTGGCACTGCGGCAGCGGCTCACTGCCGATCGGACCGTCAGATCGGCCCGGCCTCAGTGAGACTCATGTCAGTGCCAGATGGCAGCCTCAGGGTAGCAGGTGCCCGGTGCCGGGCTGCCTCCGAGCTCTGCCGGAGGCCCGCCGAGTCGCAGTGGCACGGTGACTCCGACATCTCAAAGTACTGACTCATCAAACGGATATCAAAACCCGTACTCCGTAACATCACTGGCAAACTTCGGATACTAAGTTCAAAGACATCAAAGATATCAAAGACATCCGACTGAAAGACATCAAACTTCGGACATCAACTTGCCAAGTTGAATCACAGAGTCAAAGATCGGACATCAAAGACATCCGCTGAGTGAATGTAAGACATCAAAGACATCAACTTGACTCTGTGAAGACATGGCAAAGATATCAAAAATATCAAAGACATCAAAGACTACTTCGGATCACAGCGCCCGAGTCAGAAAGCCCGGTGACGGTGACTCTGACATGCGTGACTCGGATCATCGGATCAAACTTGAAAACTCAGTGGTAACGAGGCGGCGGCCGGGTCATGCCACGCAGTAACCTCCCTCATCCCGGGCCCGCTCAGCCCAGTAACAGTATAACTAGGCTTTGTTTTTTGAAGGAGCCTCGAATCCGCAACGATTCGGGTAATCACTATAAGGTTATAAAGGTACATTTGTGGCGTGATGACGTGGGAGCTCGGACGGGTTCATTTGCTATGAGAAGGGGGGGTAATGGAGTAGGGGAGGGGTAGGCTCAAAAGTAAAAAGGTAACTGGAAGATCGGTAGCAGACGATAGCGCGATGCAAGGGCATGCGGCTTGAAACAGTCTGATACGACATGAGTAGGTCATGCACCAACATTCTTCACGATGGTGAGTAGCTCTGAGCGTTTGAGAGTCATGTAGTGTCCGCCCACAACGTTCCTTGAGCTGGTTTCTGGGCTGAACAACAAGTGAATGAAAGCAACACCCTTCATGATCTTTGAAATGAACAATCAACGAGCCCGGTCACTAGATGACACTAAAAGCGATCACACGCACATCTTTGTCTACAGGCTCCATCCTGAGTACCAGCGATTCGACAGCCGCCATCACGAGACAGCCCTTCTGAAAGATCGCCTCCACAGCGTCCTGCACGAGACTCTCTCGAAAAGGTCAAATGACGTCTACAAGATCTACCCCGGCAAGACCTACCTCGACATGGACTGCGTGCCCTACCTGGCTGCCCTCGAGACAAGGGTGACTAGAGCCAGATACCTGTGCAACTGCTCCGTCTTCGTGCCCGTCATCACCTGGGGTCAGGAACACAGCGTGCTGGAGGAGCTCGCAGCGATCGACGAGGCGCACGACCGTGAGAGTGACTTCCTCGTGCACGCGCTGGCAGCGCTCTACCTGCTCAACAAGGACGCCGGGAGACTCAAGGCCGTGCTACCCATCCTGCGGGACGAGTCCGAGGGACGCACCTCCCTCTCCAGCGCGTGCGGGAGCCTCAGCAGGAAGCCGTCGGTACGCAGCTGCGCGCGGGCGAGCGAGCTGATACAAGCAGGAGGCGTCCGGAGGGACAGAGAGGCGATACTCGAGTACCTGCTGGGAGTCTCGGTGCAGGAGGCGGTGGCGATGCTGCTGCCTGCGGGGAGGAGGGCAGAGGTCGGGCTGGGGGAGGAGACAAGGAGAGGGAAGGGGAGCAAGGGAGTGGCTGGCATGTACGTAGACTCAACCGGAGATGTCGAGAGAAGCGCGAGGGAGGCGGGGGAGCTGATAGCACACTGTCTGGTGAGGGTGGTGAAGGAGCACATCGACCGAAAGCTGTGGGAGTTCTCGAAACACAACCCTCGGGGGATCGAGGTGCTGCAGGTACTGCAGGAGACGGGGATGTATGACAAGTTCAACGAGTACTTCGCGCTGCGGGGCATCGAGACCCTGGACAAACTTCCTCTGTTCACGAGAGCACTGTCGCAGGCTCAAAGTTGCATTCAGATAGTGGAATCTTGCCTTGACATCACAGCATACAATGCTTCAGACGAGAGCTCGATCCGGACGCTCGAGAAGCTGGTGGAGGACTACAAGAAGGACGAGCGCTTCCTCCCTCTCAACGACAGGCTCAGGCAGTACCGAGACGCTGACGTCAACGGGGTCCTCGCCCTCCGCACCACCAACTCCCTCGAGACGGCCCTGGTGAAGCTGCCGGCGAGAAGCTGCATCGTCTTCCTCAGCCTGGTGTACCTTGTGTTCGGGATCAAGCAGCTGGGCCCGATCATGTCCGACCAGGTCTGGCTGCCGGACAAGAGCTCGGGCACGCCCGTCAAGCCCAAGACTGTGAGGATATCGGTCATGGCAGATCCGATCATCAGCTTTGCGTGGAGCTTGTTGTTCTTGAGCGGGGTGCTGCTGGGGCTGCTGAGCACACCGTTACGAGCCAAGTGGCTGCTGCTGTCAACGGGGCATCTGGTGCTGACGGCCAACGTGGCCTGCATGGTAGCCGACTTTGTGCAGTGCTCGACTCAGGGGACGGGGATAGGACCATTCTGCAACTCGAGTCAAAAGATTATTTCTTCTTCATTGCTTATGATCATGATGTACCTGGCGCATTTCGTGCAGCACTACTTCTGGATGGCTGCCTTTCTTGTCCAGGGTGCATTCTGCCTGTTTGTTGGGATCATATCAACAGACCTTGAAAGCTTCGGCTTCTTGTGCCTCGGGGTAGGTTGCTGGCTGGTGGAGCTGGCGATCGTGGTGGAGTATCACCGGGCGTACGCCAGGACCTTCAGGGACCTCAAGGCAGCCATGCGAGGCTTCGAGGACACTTGGACCAGCGTCGTCGAGGAGAGCTCGCACGTAGTGCAGGAGATCAGCGCGCGAGTCCGGGCGATCGCTCAAGAGCTGGAGGAGGTGATCGGCGATGACACCCGGACGTGGCGTCGGTACTTGTGGGTGACGCTCGGCCTGCGGGGCCGGCGATACTCGAGGAGGAACGGGAAGATCCGGCAGGCGAGCCGAGACTTCGAGCAGCTCTTCCTCCAGGCGCAGGAGGTCAGCGCCGCCTTCCAGCTGTGGGTGTCCGGGTGGAACCGGGTGGGGCGGGTGGAGCATGGTAACGTCAAGTCTTGCGCGCGAGCGATGCAGAAGACGGTGAGGTCGTACAGGCGCGACCCCTCGTGCCTGACCGACCTGGTGCGATGTACTGTCGTGGTGTCGTCGATCGACGACGTGCTGTCGTGGTTGAGCTTCTTGCGGGGTCAGTCGGTGGTGGGGCACGGGGTGAGCGCGTGGGACCAGCCTGGAGGAGGGAGGGTGATGTCGGAGGACGTGGAGGTAAGGAGGGCAGAGAGAACCGAGACGGCGAGGAGGAGGAAGTGACGAGCCTTCGACAGACGGGCGGGGGAGAGGAAGGCGGGGAGATCTACATGAGCATCACCAACATCAAGAACCGGTACGTGCACCAGAAGAAGACGAGCGAGGAGCGAGGAGCAGGAGCGGGGAGCGGGAAGCGGGGAGCGAGGGGGAGGGAGACGAGGCGAGGAGTGAGCTGAGGGGATGTAGAGGAGTCAAGCGGGTCGAGCCAAGGGATGCGGCTGAGCCTGTGGGGCAGGTACGACCCGTCTGGCGGCACGAGCTTGAGCGGGGGCTACCGGGACCTGTGCGTGTGCGTGGAGGTAGGAGGGAAGGGAGGCGAGAGACCGGGCAGGAAGAGCTGAGAGGAGGGCAGG